AAATGTGAAACTTTTAAAACTCAGAAATGTCCAAGTTTGAGTTTAACCTCAAATTTACAGATTCTTTTTTCATATATGAAAATTTTGACTTTACAAACTCAGAAACGTTTTTGCTTTTCCTCAAAAATTTCAGAGATTAATATCACAATTTTGGAGTTTTTTTGTGCAAATGCTCCTTTTTGTTTTCAATCTCCCTCAAACACGCCTGACAGTCTGAATAGCTGGAAAAATAAACAGCATTTTTTTCTTTTACAGCAGTGAAAATGTTTTAATTTATTAATTTCTCACTTTGTTTCCGATGTAAATTTTTCTGAGTAACTTTTTTTTGACCTCGTTAAAGATGGAGTTTCCTTTGAGCACTTTTTAAATTTGGAAAAGTATGAGAAATATAAAACTGCGTATGGAAAAATACAAGAAGTTGCTAACAGTTGTGGAAATTAGACCTGGTTTTATGATTTAATGTTTTGATTTCCCACTTCACAATTTGATTTTAACCTCATAACCTTTAGATAATTGAGGCCCATTTCACAGATTTTTAGACAATTTTAAACGTAAAAATACCAAACATTAACTAAATCTGCTTATTTCAGAACAGGAAACTCAAGAATATGACTATATTTTAAACTTGACGTGAAGAATAGACCATTCACTGCAACATACTCCCTAATGAGTTTTTTTTTTGGTTTTTTAAATCGTCTATGCCAACATTAGCTGCACTGGTTGTTGCCATGGCTGGAGCTGTTTGATGCTGCAGGTGGTTTCTGTGAACTCCTGGTAAAACTGCAGGGTTAAAGGTTCGCTTCTCTTGATTTCAGATTCCACAAAGGGGGAAGATTTTCTCTGGAGTCGCTTTAAAATATTCATAAAAAGGAGAGCGCAGAGCCGCGGGGTGCAGCGCAGACCGATGGGATAAATTACCGAGCAGCTTCCAGGAATCTGCTGCTGGTCACTGCTGACCCTCAGAGGCAAAACGGAAACAGAGATTTAAATCAGGGATGTTCAAAAGGTGACAGAAAATCTTAAAGACAGGAGAGAAACAAGAAGAAAACAACATCCTGCACTGCAAAAACACAAAATCCTACCAAACATTTTTAGTACAAATATATGAGGACCCTTGAAAAAAGACAAAACTGACTCAGAAGTAACTTCTCTGCAAAATAAAGGAGTTTGTTTAAAGTAAATAATTTCTTAATATTAAAGAAAAAGTTCTAGTTCGACTGCAGATTATCCCACATTTTCCCTGTTAGAAATGAAATAACCTGGAACATTTAGTTAATTTTCAGATTTACTTAAAACATGCAGGAATATCTTGGTGAAAAGTTCCTTCTGAGTTAGTTTTTCACAAAGTCTTTTTTAAATAATTAGATTTTACTCAGACTTTTCATAATGAGCCTTTTAAAGGCCTCTGTCACTTTAAATCCAAAAGAGCTGCTGCTGGACATGAGTAGAACCAGTAAACACCAGAACCAGTAAACATCAGAACCGGTAAACATCAGAACCAGTAAACACCAGAACCGGTAAACATCAGAACCATTTCCTCTCCCCTGATGCACAACCAGCAGCAGGTAATTTCTGGATGGTGAGTCAACAGGAAAACCAACTCTTGTTGTTTCCAGCAGCCATTGTACGGCTCATTCAGCAGTGAAATGTGCTGGAGCTCCATCTGGGTTGCTAGGTAACGGGCCGGCCTGATGATTTGTTTTGAAACGTTTTTCAAATCAAAAAATATTAAATTAGTGCCAAAAAACTGGTTGGTTTGTTTTAAGAAGCAGTTTAGACCCAAAATTTTGCATAATGGCTTCCCTTCATATTCTACTGATTAATGTTCTGCAGTTTTTCACATATTTTATATCAGGGCTCCAAAAGCCTTTGCGATGTGACTGATTTCAGCGTTTAATGGTCTTTATGTCCAGAAATTATTCACTGAATGAATAGAAAACGCAGCAGAACCTCAGCAGGTTTCCGACAGGATGAGGAACCCAAACCAGGAATTAGCCTGGTTCTCTGCTTTCATTTACCAGAATTTGTTTCTGTTTTAGATGTTTCCTTCTGTCACACACCTGGATTGAATCTGTGGGAGGTTAAAAGGCTTGTTGATCGCCATCATGTAGTGATTTGAATCAGCTGCTCTGCAATAGAAACACATCTAGAAAGTGCAGAGCAGGAGCCTTGAGGACTGGAAATAAGAAGCTCTGCTTTACAGGAACAAATCTGAGAACTCAGGAATTTTAATCCGTTGTAACTTCCTGAATTGGAGCATTTTTCCCCCAATAAGTCACTATAAAGCGGAAAAATTAAGACGTGACTCCGTGTTGCGACTGCAGGCGGATTAAAGACGCTGAAGCAGTTTTGTAATGAAAATACAGTTTTCAAAGTTTCAGTCACATCGTCATCAGCAACGTTTCATCATAAATGTGTCATAAAAACGCCGGACAGGAAACAATCGCTTCGAATGTTTGGTGAGAAACTCTAAAAATTCCTCCTGCTGGTGGGAATGAGGTCAAACTGGAGCCTGTTTGTTGAAGTTTCTCACCGCATGCATGAAGCGATTAGGAGAAATCTGCATAAACAAGCAAGATCTCCCACAAAAGGAGAAAACGTTGAAAAACCAAACACCATAAAATATGTTTACTGCAGCTGTAAATATTTTGTTCCCTCCTGACTTTTTGTATGTTTTATTGAAGAAGCAGTTTCAGATCTGAACAGTTTTTCATCTTCTCCATGTATTTTATTGTTGTAAGATTTGCAGCTTTAGGTAAACGATACTTCTAAGGAAATAAAACCTTTTCATATTCAGACCAAACAGATTTGAATAATTCATTGTGATTTTTGAGTTAGAAAAACATAAAGTAGGACAGAATTATGTAGTAGGTGCACAAGTTGAGTCAATAACTTTTAAATATTGACAGAAAATGACTATATTAAGTTTATTAAATTAAAACATTTCATTTTCTACATTTGTAAACTTTTTATAAGTCTTTTATTGCAGTTCATAAAAGACATGGATGGTCACTACATTGACTAGTTCATGGTTTAAGGGATTTGTTTTGCAGAAATAACTGAAGGGACATCCAAACAACAGAGCTACAAATCAAAGAGTTTAATTCAATTAAACAAATTAAAAAGGACAGAAAATACAAAATGGATTTTCACCATAATTTAACCACCATAATTTAATTAATTTAGTTTATCATGTTAAATTCATTCACTTTTCTGTTAATACAAAAATAAAACTTTCTTTATTCCTACAGAAAGTTTGAAAACATTCAAAAACATTAATATGAAGAAAAATTCAGGAAAAACCCTTTAAAAGGAAAGTTTATTCACATTTCTATGGCATATTTACCCATTTTTTAAATATAAATTTTTACAGTGTGTGTTGAAACTTAAGCCAGTTTTCATTTTTTCTGGTTAATCCCAAAATGGAGTTGAATTAAAAACTCTTCAGTTTTTCCTCTGGCCTTCATCTTCTCGGCTGATCTGAGAGGCTCTGGCGCCTCCTGCTGGTCGGACATCTAAACTTCCTCTCCAACTTGTGAAACAATAAGTCCAGAAAAATTTCCCAGCAGCCTCCGGCCGAGTGTTGCATGTTGTAGACATAATGAATGAGCTGCATGTGGCTCTATGAGCTTGTTGTTCCCACACAGATGGGGGACAGAGCCGCCTTGTCCACATGTGAAGCCATTAGCGTTCCACTTTGTGCCACGTTATTATTACTGCCAGGTACCAGACAGAAAGGCCAGAACCGCTCCGGCTGTTCACTCTGAACCAGAACCTGCTTCTCGGTTGAGTCAGAACCAGAAGGAGGAAGATGGGCTGGATCAACAGGAAGTGGTTTTGTTTTTGTTCAAATCCTTCATTTTGTTTGTAATTCCCCTAAATTTTATGCTGAAGCTGTTTGAAGGGGAATTTTCTGCATATAAGGGATGGACAGGATTTTCCATCAAATGAGCCCAAAGTATGATAGATCCAGTACCGTGCTTTACAGTTGGAGAAGTTTAGTTTTAGTTGCCCTTTAAACCACAAAACATAAAGAAATATTTAGTTTAATAATTTGAAGCTAAATATTGAGCTAGAAACCTGAATATTTACTCTCAGATTAAATACTTAGTTCACCAACTAAATATTTACTTTCTACAATAAATATTTACCTCCAATCTAAATATTTTGTTAGCAAGCTAAAACCTGCTCCAAGTTAAAAATGTAAACATTTTTTCCTCATGTTGACTAAATTACACTTTGCTTCTTCTTAGAGACAAATATTCTCACCATATCGTTCATTAATTTATAAATATCACATTTACAAACTAAATGTTGAATTAGCAAGCTAAATATTTAGCTTGGAGCCTAAATATTAAGCTACTAAGTTTAGGATTTAATTTTCTTGTCAAGTAAATATTGAGATTCCAAATAAGTATTTAGTTCTTACACAAAGGTAAACAACACGTCTGGGAGAAAGGGGGAGGAGCTGCGTCTCGGAGGCGGAGCTTAGTTCAACCAGGTGTTTTGCACAGCTGAATGGCTGCCATAGAGACTGAAAGATTTCTCAAACATGCATAAAGAAAATCAAAGCAACACTCCAGGTTTGTTTCTGATGAGAGAATTACGTGACGCTGCCCCTTTTAGTAACGCTTCCGCCAACCTGTCTGGCGTGATGTTGGCATTTTTAAACCAACAGGAAACTTGGCCAAATTGTCACCGGGTTTCAAAATAAAAGAGGGAGCTAAGGCAGCGTCCGTCAAAGCAGACGGTACTCGAGCGCGTCAGGAACGTTTCCAGCTGGTGACATTCCTCTGCAGGCCAAAGGAGATGCAGCTATTCCCGTGGGAGGCTGGGAGCCTGCTGCTGGCAGGCAGCGGCCCGGGATGAAGTCACAAACATCGCGACTGTAGTCGACTCCCACTCCCCCCGGGCAGCACAGACGGGGCATTATGTGGCCCGGTACCAGCTGGTACCACGGGCGCCTCGTCCTCCTCTGGACTTCATTCGCCGCTGCCTGTGGAACCGGGACATGGAACCTGCGGACGTTCTGCTCAGATGCATCGTCGCCTTCTGCTTTTCTGCGCAGTGCTGGGCTCAGAGACGTGAGTACCGACCGTCCTGCTGATGACCTCTGACCTTTAAAACACTGCTGTACGGAGCACATCTTCTAAAAACCAAAACCTCACTGGATGAAGCGAAACACCAAATGTACTTTTCTGTTTTCAGTCTGAGTTCAGCAAAATTTGGATCAATTTACAGATTATTTGGAATTGCTGGAGCTGCATTCTGTTTTTTTAGTGCATCTGTTTCACTGCAAAAACACAAAACTCACCAAGAATTTCCTGTCTCTCTGATTTCACTGTCAATACGACAAAATGACGTCGTCAGCAAAATATTTAAGCAAATTTAAAAAATCCAGCTCAGTACAAAATACTTTATTGATCCCAAAGAGAAATTAAATCATTAAATTAATATTGATTTTAACAAACAGACCAGTTATTATTTCATGTCTGACATGGAAACCTGGTGTAATCTATCAGTAGAACATTTTTAAATCAATATTAAAACAATCAGTTGTGTCTCATTTCAAGTCCAGAAAGATGTTTTCACTAAAGTATTTTATTTATAAAATTTTGTAACATTTTAAAAGTGTAAAAATCTGACAGCTTTTTTCTTAAAAAACATTTTTTAAGAGATAATTTATTTCCTGTTGAACAAACTTTATGGCCCCAATTTAGCTCCATAGAAACACAGAAATTTGAACCAAATTCAACTGGATTTAATCTCTTTATATCTGATTGATTATCTATTGTTGGGGATCAATTTGATCAGTTTGGTTTGGAAAAAACCTTGAAGCATCGATTCATAGAGCTACATTTACTGGATCTGTTTACTGGTTCTGGTGTTTACTGGTTCTGATGTTTACCGGTTCTGATGTTTACTGGTTCTGGTGTTTACTGGTTCTGGTGTTTACTGGTTCTGATGTTTACTGGTTCTGGTGTTTACTGGTTCTGGTGTTTACTGGTTCTGGTGTTTACTGGTTCTGGTGTTTACTGGTTCTGGTGTTTACTGGTTCTGGTGTTTACTGGTTCTGATGTTTACTGGTTCTGGTGTTTACTGGTTCTGGTGTTTACTGGTTCTGATGTTTACTGGTTCTGGTGTTTACTGGTTCTGATGTTTACTGGTTCTGGTGTTTACTGGTTCTGGTGTTTACTGGTTCTGGTGTTTACTGGTTCTGGTGTTTACTGGTTCTGGTGTTTACTGGTTCTGGTGTTTACTGGTTCTGATGTTTACTGGTTCTGGTGTTTACTGGTTCTGGTGTTTACTGTTCTGATGTTTACTGGTTCTGATGTTTACTGGTTCTGGTGTTTACTGGTTCTGGTGTTTACTGGTTCTGGTGTTTACTGGTTCTGGTGTTTACTGGTTCTGATGTTTACTGGTTCTGGTGTTTACTGGTTCTGGTGTTTACTGGTTCTGATGTTTACTGGTTCTGGTGTTTACTGGTTCTGATGTTTACTGGTTCTGGTGTTTACTGGTTCTGGTGTTTACTGGTTCTGGTGTTTACTGGTTCTGGTGTTTACTGGTTCTGGTGTTTACTGGTTCTGGTGTTTACTGGTTCTGGTGTTTACTGGTTCTGGTGTTTACTGGTTCTGGTGTTTACTGGTTCTGGTGTTTACTGGTTCTGGTGTTTACTGGTTCTGGTGTTTACTGTTCTGGTGTTTACTGGTTCTGGTGTTTACTGGTTCTGGTGTTTACTGGTTCTGGTGTTTACTGGTTCTGATGTTTACTGGTTCTGGTGTTTTACTGGTTCTGGTGTTTACTGGTTCTGGTGTTTACTGGTTCTGGTGTTTACTGGTTCTGGTGTTTACTGGTTCTGATGTTTACTGGTTCTGGTGTTTACTGGTTCTGGTGTTTACTGGTTCTGGTGTTTACTGGTTCTGGTGTTTTGGTTCTGGTGTTTACTGGTTCTGGTGTTTACTGGTTCTGGTTACTGGTTCTGGTGTTTACTGGTTCTGGTGTTTACTGGTTCTGATGTTTACTGGTTCTGATGTTTACTGGTTCTGGTGTTTACTGGTTCTGATGTTTACTGGTTCTGATGTTTACTGGTTCTGGTGTTTACTGGTTCTGGTGTTTACTGGTTCTGATGTTTACTGGTTCTGGTGTTTACTGGTTCTGGTGTTTACTGGTTCTGATGTTTACTGGTTCTGGTGTTTACTGGTTCTGATGTTTACTGGTTCTGGTGTTTACTGGTTCTGGTGTTTTACTGGTTCTGGTGTTTACTGGTTCTGATGTTTACTGGTTCTGGTGTTTACTGGTTCTGATGTTTACTGGTTCTGGTGTTTACTGGTTCTCATGTTTACTGGTTCTGGTGTTTACTGGTTCTGATGTTTACTGGTTCTGGTGTTTACTGGTTCTGATGTTTACTGGTTCTGATGTTTACTGGTTCTGATGTTTACTGGTTCTGGTGTTTACTGGTTCTGATGTTTACTGGTTCTGATGTTTACTGGTTCTGATGTTTACTGGTTCTGATGTTTACTGGTTCTGTTTACTGGTTCCGGTGTTTACTGGTTCTGGTGTTTACTGGTTCTGATGTTTACTGGTTCTGGTGTTTACTGGTTCTGGTGTTTACTGGTTCTGATGTTTACTGGTTCTGGTGTTTACTGGTTCTGATGTTTACTGGTTCTGATGTTTACTGGTTCTGGTGTTTACTGGTTCTCATGTTTACTGGTTCTGATGTTTACTGGTTCTGATGTTTACTGGTTCTGGTGTTTACTGGTTCTGGTGTTTACTGGTTCTGATGTTTACTGGTTCTGATGTTTACTGGTTCTGATGTTTACTGGTTCTGATGTTTACTGGTTCTGGTGTTTACTAGTTCTGGTGTTTACTGGTTCTGATGTTTACTGGTTCTGATGTTTACTGGTTCTGGTGTTTACTGGTTCTGATGTTTACTGGTTCTGGTGTTTACTGGTTCTGGTGTTTACTGGTTCTGGTGTTTACTGGTTCTGATGTTTACTGGTTCTGGTGTTTACTGGTTCTGGTGTTTACTGGTTCTACTGTTTACTGGTTCCGGTGTTTACTGGTTCTGATGTTTACTGGTTCTGATGTTTACTGGTTCTGGTGTTTACTGGTTCTAATGTTTACTGGTTCTGGTGTTTACTGGTTCTGGTGTTTACTGGTTCTGATGTTTACTGGTTCTGGTGTTTACTGTTCTCATGTTTACCGGTTCTGATGTTTACTGGTTCTGGTGTTTACTGGTTCTGATGTTTACTGGTTCTGATGTTTACTGGTTCTGATGTTTACTGGTTCTGGTGTTTACTGGTTCTGATGTTTACTGGTTCTGGTGTTTACTGGTTCTCATGTTTTACTGGTTCTGATGTTTACTGGTTCTGGTGTTTACTGGTTCTGGTGTTTACTGGTTCTGATGTTTACTGGTTCTACTGTTTACTGGTTCTGGTGTTTACTGGTTCTGATGTTTACTGGTTCTGATGTTTACCGGTTCTGGTGTTTACTGGTTCTGATGTTTACTGGTTCTGGTGTTTACTGGTTCTGATGTTTACTGGTTCTGGTGTTTTACTGGTTCTGATGTTTACTGGTTCTGGTGTTTTACTGGTTCTGATGTTTACTGGTTCTGGTGTTTACTGGTTCTGATGTTTACTGGTTCTGGTGTTTACTGGTTCTGGTGTTTACTGGTTCTGATGTTTACTGGTTCTGGTGTTTACTGGTTCTCATGTTTACTGGTTCTGATGTTTACTGGTTCTGGTGTTTACTGTTCTGATGTTTACTGGTTCTGGTGTTTACTGGTTCTGATGTTTTACTGGTTCTGGTGTTTACTGGTTCTGGTGTTTACTGGTTCTGATGTTTACTGGTTCTGGTGTTTACTGTTCTCATGTTTACTGGTTCTGGTGTTTACTGGTTCTGGTGTTTACTGGTTCTGATGTTTACTGGTTCTGATGTTTACCGGTTCTGGTGTTTACCGGTTCTGGTGTTTACTGGTTCTGATGTTTACTGGTTCTGATGTTTACTGGTTCTGGTGTTTACCGGTTCTGTGTTTACCGGTTCTGGTGTTTACTGGTTCTGATGTTTACCGGTTCTGATGTTTACCGGTTCTGGTGTTTACTGGTTCTGGTGTTTACTGGTTCCGGTGTTTACTGGTTCTGGTGTTTACTGGTTCTGGTGTTTACTGGTTCTGGTGTTTACTGGTTCTGGTGTTTACCGGTTCTGGTGTTTACTGGTTCTGATGTTTACTGGTTCTGATGTTTACTGGTTCTGGTGTTTACTGGTTCTGGTGTTTACTGGTTCTGGTGTTTACTGTTCTGGTGTTTACCGGTTCTGGTGTTTACTGGTTCTGATGTTTACCGGTTCTGATGTTTACCGGTTCTGATGTTTACCGGTTCTGGTGTTTACTGGTTCCGGTGTTTACTGGTTCTGATGTTTACTGGTTCTGGTGTTTACTGGTTCTGGTGTTTACTGGTTCTGATGTTTACTGGTTCTGGTGTTTACTGGTTCTGATGTTTACTGGTTCTGGTGTTTACTGGTTCTGATGTTTACCGGTTCTGGTGTTTACTGGTTCTGATGTTTACTGGTTCTGGTGTTTACTGGTTCTGGTGTTTACTGGTTCTGATGTTTACTGGTTCTGGTGTTTACTGGTTCTGATGTTTACCGGTTCTGGTGTTTACTGGTTCTGATGTTTACTGGTTCTGATGTTTACTGGTTCTGATGTTTACTGGTTCTGATGTTTACTGGTTCTGGTGTTTACTGGTTCTGATGTTTACTGGTTCTGGTGTTTACCGGTTCTGATGTTTACTGGTTCTGGTGTTTACTGGTTCTGGTGTTTACTGGTTCTGGTCCGGTTCCCAGTCTGCACGGTGCAGCCCGGCCCGGTAACCATTCCTGAGAACAACACGGCCGACGTCCCGGTGGTGAAGATCATCTCCAGCGGTGATGCGACTCTGAGCGTCTCGGTGAACCCGGAGGATCTGTTCTACATCAAAGGCAACGTCCTGATGGTGAAGAAAGGCCTGGATTACGAGGTAACAACAACAATAATCGCCCCAGATTATGAGGTAATAATAGTAAAACCTGCTCACAGTTTGTAACCAGGAGTGTTTCTGGTTCCCAGTCCCTGTCCAGTCCCACTCTGGTGGTTTGGGTGAAGTGCAGCAAAGCCGGATCCAGATCAGTGAGTAAAACCAACATCATGCTAAACGTTCCCTGTTCTGGATCAGCCGGCGCCGAACTCAACATCCTCCAGAACTATCTGTTCATCTCCTCTGCAGGTGAACGAGTCTGTGGAGGTTCTGGTGGAAAACGTGAACGATAATCCTCCGAACTTCGCCCAGAACCACTTTGTTCTGGACGTGAACGAGGTGGACGCAGTTTTTCTGCTGGTAAAATGTTGCCAGGTTTCTGCTCTGACTCTTGTGTTCCTGCAGCTCTCTCCAGTGAACTCCAGCGTTGGACTCATAGAGGCAACGGATGTTGATTCAGAGCCGCTTTATTATCGCTTAGAGTCTGCAACTGTAAGCTTTCCCCCATTCTCACCGTTTTTATTATTATTCATTTCACAAAAAACTGGTATTTGTACCTTTACGTCTCTTTCCTCTGAGTTTTCCTGGTTACTTGTGTCAATATTGCTGCTTTTAAATAGATGTGATTTTTTTGCTGCGTTAAGAGGGAAAAAAAATGCCAATTAAAGGTGCAGAATGTAACTTTATTAAAAATATTTTTAATATATTTGTTAAAACTGTAATGACAGTTACTCTGAGTTATCATTGTTATTATTACCATCTGAAGAAATGCATCACTGCCGAAACAAAAACATCCAATCAGAGCCAGGAGGGCCGTAGTGCTGTCAACCAATCTCATGTACTCGCTGCTAAATGAGAGAATGGCAGAGAAACGACTTACCGTTGCAGGTAAACAATTTATCTACCATCACCAGTGTCTGTGCTAACTAGCCTAGCATTTACAACAAGATCTGCTGACAGGAGAAACTGTAGTAGCAGCAGAGGAGGAAGGAAGAGCAGCATCACACAAGATAGTGATTGACAGCGCTAAGACCCGCCTCCTGACTCTGATTGGTTCTCTGAAAGTTACAGACTGTACCTTTAATGCTGTAAGGTCATAAACATTTCTGTTGTCACAATGTCAGATTTGGAAAATGATCCGGTTGATTTGTGGAAAACTGTTGAACTCCTCAGTGCTGCAGTAAATCAAAACGCTTCAAACAATTTGTTATTATTATGATTATTATTACTTTGGTGTTACTCGTCCTGACAGACTGCAGCTACTTTTTCATTCCCTTAAAGGTGTAACATGATTTGAAATAGTTAATCTGTCTTACTTTTCATTCTAAACCACAATATTTGACCCGAACGTCTCAGGAGAAATATTTCCGTCTGGAGAACATCAACACACCGAAGCTCCTGGTGAAAAGCCTCCTGGACTACGACGTGGTGCAGAAGATCTCTCTGGTGTTGCACGTTCAGGTACAGGAAGGACGTTGCTCTGTTTTTCTTTTTGTCCGTTCCCTGATGTTTGTCTTCCGCTCCCAGGACACGTTCAACGGTTCGGCGTCCAACGAGCCGTTCTTCACCTCCGTGGCCCTGATCACGGTCCAGGTGAGGGACGTGGACAACCGGCCGCCCTGGTTCCAGCCGTGTCTCAGGACCAACTTGGGACTGGCCAAGCTTTGCGTCAGCGGCGGCTACAGAGGCAAAGTCAACCTGACGGAGAAGGAAGTGAGTTTGGACAGCAAATATCAACATCTCTTTTTAAAACTAAAAATGTACAAATGTTTACTTTTCTTGCCCAAACTTTAAGATATGATGTTTGGCTCAAATCTTAAAAACCATAAAAAAATGTATTTTTGTGGGTAACTTACTGTCTAGAACACGTGCAGCGCTTGTACAAAATGCAAAATAATTTTGTCTCTAATGTTAAACTATTATAAAACTTTACACAAAAAACAAAACATGTTTTTAAAAACTAACATATTTCAACTTAGTTTATTTGTCAGGGTTAAAACTAAAATCTGAAACAAAATGTGAGAAACAGACAATATAATCAAAATTCTTCCATTTCAATCTGCAGATCGTCAGTGTTGTGATTTTCTGTTATTTTTAGTTTTTCATATTTGTAAAATGTGATGAAGTTTGACTTTGACTGAAAGGGAAGCAGTCAGTTGTTATTTTAGGCGGATTGGTTTCTTCTGGCTGGAATCGGTTTGAGCCTCGTTCTGTTTTCACAACTCATTTAACTTTCAATTAACTTTCTACATGATATGTGAACAAATATGATTATACTGACAATATTTGACGAGGGTCCAGAATGTGAACGGTGATTTAGTTGAATGCTGAGATGGTAAATGAAAGCAGACTGGTTTGAAACGCAGGAAGGCCCGTTGGTTCTGGAGCCCGGACCGGTTTTCGCCAGAGACGGAGACCGGAACCGCAGCGAGCCGATCAGCTACAGGATACTCCGAGGTCAGACACCAGAGAATCACTTTTGATTTTTTCAGGTCTCATCTTCTGACTTGATACTCAATAACTTTATAAAGAAAATGTCTAATTTATTATTATTCCCTAAAAATATGGATTCATTGAGAAGAATTAACAGGGTAAAAACATACAAAATATAATTATTTTTTATACATAATAGATACATAAGAATATCATGGTATCTCACTGAATTGTAAGTAAAAATATGTCAACATTTTCTTTTTTCCCTGTTTTGGAAACATTTACTGAATATAATAATAAACATTTTGACATCTTCTCTCATCTATTTAAATGATCAAACTGGAAAAAATATTTAATGGGGTTATATTTTTACCTAAATGATGTTAATAAATAAATTAAAATTAATAACCTAAGTTAACATTGAGCCAACCCTAAACTATCCAGATGAGTAAATAAACAGAAATTTCAGTAAAATATCTTTACATAAATGTTTCATTCAGGAATTAGATTTAGAACAGCAAAATAAAACAAATTAAGAAGCTAAAAACATGGCAGCTGGTGCTAACTAGTCATGCTAAGCTAACTGGTATTTGCTTTTTCTCCAGATTGAAAAACAATTTAAGTCAGCTCATTAAATATTACAAAAGTTATTAGTTCATTACTTAAAGAAAAACAATAAACTTGTTTTTTTTAAATACTCTAATGTTTCAAAGATTTAAAAAAATAATCCAGAGTTTAACAATTAGCTTTAGCTCATTAGCTTAGAAGCTACTAGCCAAAATCTTTGTTTATTTTTCTCAATATTTCCATAAATACGTGTGTACAATTATTTTTTGGTATGTAAAAAAACAGTCATAGGTTTTATTAGTTTTTCTGTATTTGAGTTTTTAGGGAAGTTTTAGATTTTTCTAGTGATTTATGTTTTCTTTCATCACCAGGAAATGAAGGGAATATATTCCAAATTGATGAAGACACGGGGAACATTACAATGACCAAAGCTGCAGATATTGTTGGCCCAATTATTCTGTCAATCCTGGTAAAACTGGGGGTGGGCGGGGGGGGGGAATAAACATTTTTCTGGGGATCATTTAAAAAACATCCGACAATGGGAAGCTCTGATTCTGGACATGTTTTCCTCCGTTTCAGGCTTCGCAGGTGAACAACAGGGATCAGTTTGCAGTGACTCAGGTGACCATAGAGGTGATGAAGAAGAGCAGGAATCCTCCGCGCTTTGAGAAAGAGCGATTCGAGGGATTTATCTACAGCAACTCCATCCCAGAGAGCATGATACTCCGAGACCGGACCACCAACAGACCCTTCAGGGTCCGAGCCCGCGACGAAGACTTCGCAAGTGTAAGTGACGCTCAGTAAAGTCTGCTTTAAAAAAAGTGATACAGAAGAGAGTGATACACAGTGCAGTGTATAGTGGCTCCTATCAGAGGCTTTTTCAAAACCACTGTGAAACAGACTGCTACAGGAGATCCTTCTGGATTTACAGTACAGTCTGGTTAAATCCTGATGTTCTGAGGATAATTAACGTCTTTGTTTGGTGTTTTTGGGGTCAGGGTCTAAACCCCGACATGAAGTATGAGGTTCAGTACAGCAGCTACGTCAACGTGACTCCCGACGGCTTCGTGATCCTGAAGAGAGTGGTGAAGACGGAGTCTTTTGCCCTTCAGGTGACCCACGGATCCACAGCAGCTCAAAGGGCCAATGTACAGCAGTACATTCCTGCCAAAACACTCAGAAATCTTTTGATTAATCTCAGAAGGTTTGCAGAAAAAGTATTTTTGAATTGGAAAAGTAAAAAAACAAAAGAAAGAAAGAAAAAACTCACATTTTGAAAAAAATTTCTCACATTTTGGAAAAATTTGGAAATTTCTGAGAATGCTGAATCTCAGAAATTTCCATTTTTATTTTTAGAAAATTTCAGTTTCTAAAAGCAAATTTTTCTGACTCAGAAATATTAATGTATTTTTTCTACAACATTTCTGATTTTTTCTGGCACATTTGCAACTTTTCAATCTGAGAAATGTCAGAGTTTTTCTAGAAAAGTTGAGACCACTCAAAATTTGAGTTTATTAATGTTTTTCTCGTAATTTTACCACTTTTCCAACTCAGAAATGAGTTTTCTCTAGAAAATTTCTGTTTTTCCAGCAATTTTTCAACTTTTCAAACTCAAAAGGTTATACTTTTTTTTCTAGAGAATTTCTGAGATTTTTCCAGAGAATTTCTGAGATTTTTTGCTGCAAACTTGCTCCGTAATGCTGCCAATCCGCCGTGGTTCTGACCAGCTTGTTGCTGCCAGGAGGCTCTTTGCTCATTTTGTTGACTGTCAATGTTGTGTCTGCAGCTCAGAGCCGTGGATTCTGTCACAGGAGAGTTTGGGACTGCAGCGCTCTCCGTTCAAGTCATACCTGGTAACAGAAAGTTCAAAGTTCATCTCTAGTTTAGTCTGGAATGACTGGCTCAGCCCTCGCCTGTGTTTGTCTGCAGCTGTGGCCGTCCCGTCTCCGTCGAACGTCGGCTATCGGCCCGGCGACATGGCGCTGCTCGGACTCATCATGGCAGCTCTCCTGGTTCTCTCCCTCATCGTGATTGGCTTCCTGATTTCCCGCCTGTGGAAGGAAAACACGAGTCTCGAGAAAATTTGTGAGGTCAGTTTGCAAAATCCAGGAGACAGAAGAACCTTGAAAAATCTTCTAAAATGTTTCTTTGGACTTTGTTGCCTTTTTCTGTTCTCCAACTAAAACTCAAAGCAAAATATAAAACTTTTGCAGAATAGACAATAAAACAAAGTTACTATACTGGTCTCTGGACCTAAATCCTGGGGAAAACATTTTTTATAATTTTTACCATTCTTGTCATATGAACTCAAAATATGACTTTATCCTCTTATTGACTAAATTCTCATACAAATTGGTTTTGTTTTTTCTTACTATGGTCCCAATACACTGCTGTACAATTGAAGGTTTTTAAAATGTTGCATTAAAAAGTTTAATTATTTTGCCAACATTGTGGAGAGGTTAACTTGGGCCCCTGTGTTGACCCCTGTGTTGACCCCTGCAGTGCCTGGGCCCCCTGCGGTCCGACCGGCCCCGGTCCGGCCACAGAGACTCCCTCCAGTTCACCAACGACGGATTCCAGAACGAAGCCGACCCGAGCCGAGGCAAACGCTGGAGCAACGTGGTTCCCCGGCGCAGCACCTTCCCCCAGCCCCGGAGCCGCATCCTGCCGCTCGAGAGGCGGAGCCGCCACTGCTCCACCTGCGGCGTCTACGCCAACCACATCACCAAGGGGAGCCCGTCGGTGCGGAGGAGCAGGAGCGACGGCGACGAGTACGGGATGAGGTCCATCCTGTCCAAGCAGCGCCGCAAGGAGGGGCAGAAGACGGTGTGGTTCAAGGAGAGCGAGGATTCCTCGGACATCGAAGTGGAGATCATCCCCGACTCGGGGGCCGGGTGGAGGAGGAGACGGAGGAGCAGCTGGAGGTGGAGATGGAGGGGGTGGTGAGAGACCCCGCCGCCCCGCTCAGAGACCCGGAGCTGGAGAAGCAGAGCGACGAGCCAGATCCGGGAGACGGCTCGGAGAAGGAGCAGGAGGAGGAGCGCTGAGGTCAGAGGTCAGACTGGGCTGAACATTGCTGGTTTTGTGATACGGTTCAGACTCTGGTCCAGCAGTTCCAGGACGGCGTTCCCAGGATTCCCAGAGCTGCTTCCAAACAGGAACCCACAGATCGGAGCAGTTTTTATCCGCAGGTCCGGAAACGCGGCGTCACCGACCGGGACCGGAAACTCGTTAGCGAGGAAAAGGGAACCTGGGACGCCCGTTTCCTCACAGTGTTGGGAGACAATTTTTATAATAAAAACAAAACGGAAGGAGCTGAAGGATTTATTTATGGCAGCGCAAATGCAAAACAACAAAAAAAAAAACACTCCACTAAACATTTAACAGTCTAAAATGGTTGCGTGTTAAATTGGTGTCATTTTTTAAGGCAGCAGAAAAATAAATTCCTAATTCACTGAACAAATGATTTGATGCTTTTTTCCTCAGTTTAAAAGCAAATATTGGAATGGTTTGGACTCAAAAGAAAAATTAGAAACAAATGTGCAGAGAAACTGAAACTGATTCCACACTGGCGCCATCAGTAGGAAAAATATACAAATCAAATCCCCAGAAAGGATTCAGAATAGAGTTGGGGGAGGACCCAGTTCGGCCCGTTTGGCCAAAGAACTCTGGTTCGGTTCGAATGCATATGTGAACGCCAAGCGGACCAGAGATCGCTCCAAAAGCAGGAAGTGGACGACAGCACTGTGGGAGAAATGGCTTTGAACAAATACCAGGTTATTGAAACAGCTGAACAGAACCAGAACACAAGACGTTCTTTTAAAAAAAATTTATTGAGCCCAATCACTTTGACAAAAACATCAGTAGTAAAACCACCTTCCACTTCAAATGCCAATTAATACATTAAAACAAGTCCCTGATTAAGACGGAAAAGAAAATTACTTGGATGTCTCAAAAAGCAGAATCGGTACCATAGCACAACTCGTCACATCCAGGTTCTGCTTCACGCTCCATCAGAACCGGTCCAGTCTCCTCATCAGTGCATCTTTGCTCTAAAGTCTATGGTTAGGTACATTTTGATCACAGAAACAGGAAACAAGCAGCTCAGATCCGGAGCGTTGCGTTTAGCTTGCATTCCAGGTGCAGGATGCGTCTTTTTACTTGGACTTGGCGAAGCCGACCCGGTTGTTCTGGCGGTCGAACACGGTGTAGTACTGGCCGATGAAAACGTCTCCCAGGATCCAGAGCGGCCCGGCGGGGGGAGGGATGTCCAACGCCATGAAGCCGCTCAGGCAGATCGTCTTCCCGGCCTGACTCTCCTGCAGGACGGAGGACAAAATGTTTCCCATTATGCTTCCCTGAACGCGTTCGCAGGGATCCAGACAAAACCTGCTCATTTCATTTTCTGTGCAAACTCATTTTAAGATGATATTTTAATTAGGTTATCCTTCCAGAATGAATCATTTTAAAAATGTTTTTTAAAGCATTTGGGCTTTTGTAGAAGCAGGAGAGACAAACATGGAAGCACAAAAGTTGTGTAAATGTGACTTTTGCATAATAAGTCCCCTTTAATGTCCTCCTCTCCAAACAGACCTGCCTCTCCGCTTCAGAGCTGCACTTGTTCTGCTTTTAATAATTCAGAGTCAGTGTGTTTGTTCGGTGCCGTCGCCCCCTGCTGGTTCCTCACCTTCATGATGTACTGGTCTCCAGTCAGACTGTAGGTCTGTCCGCCGATGTTGAAGGTGATGACTGGCAGCGTTGGGACCTTTTCACAGGGCACCATGTACTGAAAGACATTAAAATAAAAATGTTTATAGGTCAGAAGATAAAATTATTTTTTTCACAAACTTTTGAATTTTTTATTTAATGAGTTTTGTGGCCTGCCAGTGGTTTAAATTTGCCACTTTTAGCCTCTAGTACAGAAAAAGATAAAAATATTGGACACCATTGGTTTAAATCCAAACCTGAAATAAACAGAGCCTGTGGAAAGAGCATCTTCTGAAGTTCTGAGGCTTGAAGTGTTTTACAGACATGAAAGTGAAGAATTATCCTTCTAACACGTCTCCATTCTGCTCAATATTCACTGAAACTTTTAACACGACAAAATGTGAAAGGCCAAAGCCGCAGCGTTTCCTCACCTCTCCCTGGATGAGCGGCAGAGCGCCGATGGCTTTCTGCAGAGCTTTGACCTCGGCGGCCGGGCCGGTGATCAGAGACGTCCCGGTGTCCACGATGGCTTCACAGCCGCCTTTACACAAACTCAGCTGGCTGCCGATCGTCATCCTGGAGCACAACAGAAAATGAAAAACAAAACTTAACTTTCCTCATCCGAGTAAATAAAGTGCATAAAATATTCAAATATTTGTTGCATTTGGTAAACAAATAAAGGTATTATTCCTGTAATTTTCACAATGCTTTAGTCTCATAAATGCATTAGTTCCATTTATAGTTTTTTCCCCATTAATCAGTTTGATTTCAGTTAGAAGGTTTTCTGGCTTTCAGTTTTTGGTGATTAATAATAACTCTCTTAAAGGGATCCACCTTTGATGTGGTCATCTTAAATGAAGCGTAAGCAGAAACTGATTTAGTTCAACTTTGGGGCTGCTGTGCAGGTTTGTGCGTCTCTTACCCATCCATGTGGACCTGCCAGTAGGCCTGTCGGCTGATGTTGACGTAGTGGAAATCTCCGCTGTAATATTTTGGGTCGGTTCCTCCCAGCAGCAGCTCGCCTCCCGGCTCTGTGTCCGGGTTCCTGAGCAGAAAAATAATACATTACTTCACCAAAATTAGTCATTTAAACAACTTTTCTATACAGGAGAACGTCCGTTTTATCAGGACTGATAATGATTCTTCAGTAGAGTTAAACTCTTGCAAACCTTAAAACAGCAGCAATAATTATGATTAAGAAGCTGAACATTGTAAAAAGTATAAAACTGCTTTTATATTTAAAAAAAAAAATGCATATAGATGAGTCATCATTAGCTAAATTTCATTTGCAAGATTAAAAAAGAAACCTGCAACGGTCTGTTTACAGAAACTGCATTTCACAGGATAACAGAAACCTTTTACATTGGAGCATTACTAGAGATGCAAATCTTTGTTTTTTCAGTTTGTAACAAACACAAAAATGTTTTGTCTTTTTCCATATTTATTGAAATTGTCACCATGACAGTTTAATAAAAGACTCTGAAAAGATCGATCTCCAACCAAGTCTGTACTTCACATTTCTGACCAGCTAGCAAACCAAACGGAGCCTCATCCTTCATTTGCACAGCAGGATGTTTGACTCCTGTGAAGAAAAACATCCGTCTCACCTGTTCAGGTAGAAGGAGAAGACGTTCTGCTCCACCTTCTTCTGGTTCATGATGTTATCGAACACAGGAACCACGTCATCCACAGAGATCCGGGGATACGCCATGCCCAGGATCCCGTCGAACTTGGCTGCGATGAAGGCGATGCCGGGCTGCTTGATGGCTTCACCGAACAGCTGCTTCTCCACGGTGATGTCGCCGATCTGAGGGGAGAGCCAGGTCAGCGGGTTTCACACGGCAACTACTCGACTCTGATCTACGGCCGAGTAACGGGGCCACGCTAGGAAAATACGATTCATTACGAGAATAAAGCCAAAATATGAGAAGTAGTGGTTTCACAAGAAGTCGAGATTTACAAAATGGGACAACTTTACTCTCACATAAGTGCATTCTCATATTTTAGTTTTGTAGCGTGGTCCTGATACTCTGGTCCGATCTGCTGTGGGCGGAGCTTACGGCGCACGTATCCTGGCTGAGGTATCCGGACAAACTGCCCGATCCATACTGGATGGCGAAGGCGGTGCCGTTCTTCACATATGTGCTGGATTTAGCTGAGTTATATTTGTGGTGAAGCACTGAAAGGAAAACAGAGGGTTAAATTCCCGGTTGGTTCCGGTCTGGCGTCAGAGGAGACGGACTCACGGCAGGCGATGTCCAGCAGGGAGCAGTGAACGGAGGGGACCCACAGGTTGGACGAGCCGGTGTCAAACACCACCGTGAACAGCTGGGGGGGCGTGCCCAGGCTGATCTCCCCGTAATACTGAGCCTGGTCAGGGAAAACAAGGTCATTCAAGGACCAACGGAGCAGGCTAAACATTAACCAGCCAGTTTGACCCATAATCATAGCAGCGGACGACGCGGGTCAAACAGTTACAACAGGAAGAGAAACTGCAGAAAGGAAACGATTACTCATGACCGCCACCAGATTGCTGCTTCATGTGACCAAACGCTGCGTTTCTGTCGAGTCATGCTCAGTTTCTCAAACGTAAAATGGAGAAGTGGATTCGGATTTATTGTGCGATTAGTTTTCACTTCTGCTTAAGTTCCCCAGAGAGCAGAAAATGTAATTCAGTCTGAAAATAAAAGGTTTCTCTCTCCAGGAGAATCACCCCGAAACACAGCTTCTAGGAGATCATTTAATAAAAAAAAAAGTTTAACAACAAGCTTGAGGCTAAAAATGTATGAAGTTGTAACATAATTTGTGATAAAATACTAACCAAGCTTCATTATGAATATTTTAATAAGTGGAAAAAACTTCAACAGAAGCTTAAAATAAAATATATAAAGTGCAAATTTTTTGCCGCAACTGTTTTCTATATTGTGGGCCAATTTTTTTTAAACCACTCATGACTTGTGATCAGGTGCCAAACAAAATACTTTCAGGGTCCACAAACTGCCCCCGAGCCACACTTTGGACACCATTGATCTAAAAGTTGTGATCATCTATTGTTCTGCAGCCTCAGAGTAAACAAACCCGCTGATGGAATCAGAAGCCGTCACACTTTCCCAGAGTTTCAGCACTTTATCTGCCTTTCTGGAAACGTTGCGTAATTCTGCAACAACAACTGAGCCATTGTTCTTTCCCCCTGCAGCTCGACTCGAACAAAACGGCTGAGGGCGTTTCGGGCCGCAGCTGTAGAGAAGCAGACATGCTTACATCCAGGTAGTTCTTCAGCATTTCTGGAGTGGGTCCATTACTGGACGGGAAGCCCAGGTTGTACTTCAGGGAGTGTCTGTCGGCCAGCAGCTCATCGGCTCGTCTTCCCGAGTCAGTCAGTTCGCGTCGGATTGAACGGAATTTCTTCAAGGGAATTCTGAACAAAAAAAAAAAAAAACAGTTTAAAAGTTTAATTTAGGTCATTTAAACAGTTACGTTTTATTCCAGTTTCCACAATGAAGCAAAAGCTGAACTGACAGCAACATTTATTCCCAAGAAAATCAAAGATCTGATCTACTTCCTCCCACTTTATCCCCATGGTGCAACCTGCGCTGCCCCCTTGGGGACGTCATTGCAATAAATGATACAATTATCTATTGCAACAACTTTTATATAATTATTAATAAATTATGAAGTCTCCAAACATTTCATACAAATTCTCCACACTGATGACTTTAGTCATCCAGCTTTTGGTAAAAAGAAAAAAACAATAAACCATGCAAATGGAATTGAACCTTTATCAATTTATGTGATTGAATTATTCCAGAGATCAGAAATGGTCAGATTTGTGCTCAAAATGACTGAGATTTAATTCATTAACATTTTTGGAGCCAGTGTTATATTTTGTAACTTTTGGACAACCTTCTGACAGATTTTTATTTGTAAAGTTGCTTAGAGAAGCTTTTTGAAAACCACCACCACACCTTTAAAGCTACAGGTTGAAACTTGTCACAAAAACAGTCAAACCTGACTGACAAACTAAATATGGTGTCAGAAAAACCACAAGATGATAACCTGACTGCCATTTGTCCCCATTTTCACAGCTGACCCAGTTACTACACACCTAAAAACA